AATCATTCTAGAGGGGCGCAACTAGATGGAAAATTTCTTGTCCACCAACTACGAAGTTAACAACAAATTTAACAACTACTGCGATTTTACAACTCATTAGTTAGTTAAATTATGGGTGGTAATTTCTAACATAATATAAAAATACGATTCAAAATTAACATAAAATTAGCCAATTAGGGTCAACTATTTCTTGACATGAATCTGTATATAATACGACTCGTTAATACAAATAATAAATGGATTGAGTTAGGGTCAAACACGAACAATGAGAAATTAACACGAATAACACATTTACGTAGTATAAAAAGAATACAATGTCAAATTTTTATTATATTTTATCTAGTGAGCTTAATTTTGTGCAAAAAGAGATATTTTTACTTATTATTATTATAATATTTATTACATTAATTTTTAGTTTATAGAAAAAGTATGAGCATAGATTTTATTAAGTAATAATAAAATTTTAGATACAAAATTGAGTATTAAATTTTTATTTACGGATTATATAGGTCGACACGAATATGACATAAAAATAAATAGGTCGATACGATTTGACACGACATAATTAGTTAAACGGATTGAGTTAAGATTGACAAATACTCGACACAAATCTGAAATGATACGACATGATTATTACCCGTTGTTAATATACATCTATTAAATTTGAAAGTAAATATCATTGTTTAGTATTTAAACTAAATCTCCTTTTTTAAAATGGTCTTTGAACTTTCTTTTGTTTTTTGATTTGACGTTTATAGGCTTTTAATTGTCATAAAAGTTAAGTAATAAATTACCCACAAAAATTATAAATTTTTTTTTTATAAAATGACTCACAAAAATTTTAAAAATACCATTAATATAATAAAATTTAGAGGTATGATAATTATTATTGATGATGCACAAATTGGTCTTGTACAAGATCAACAGTCGAGTATGTGATGAGGTGTAATTAATGGACAATACATAAAGTAATCAATGGCAAAACAATAAATATGAGCAAACACACAGATATATAGTGGTTCAATTCGGGTGACCTACTCTACTCTTGAAAAATGGAAGCGATGGTCGGAGAGGTCTTTATTGATAAATAAAATAACTGGGAGAGTGCTTCGAGAGAGTTACACTAGTTAGGAGAGGGAAACTATGTGTGTAGGGAAGTGCAGAGAGGCAAAACTCAATGTGTAGAGATGTGTGTTAGAAAAGATGTGTAGAGATCTCCCTCTCCATGTGGAGAGAGTTTAAAATATATGTGTATGGTGAGGCGTTGAGATAAGGCGGTAACGTGAGTGTGAGGGCACTACTTCCTTGCGAATGGTAGTTACAATAAGTAAGTACAATTAAGGTAGGATTGATCTTCATGAGTATGTATCCCGATAATTTCTCTCTCATGTGCTCTTATCTTTCTGGGGTCCTTGGATCTTGGACTAAGTCGAATTGATAAAGTGGACTTGCGCTGCCTTTTAATTAACTTGGACTTGCTTGATTTATTAGGTCTGAACTACTTCCTTGCGAAGGATAGTTACAATAAGTAAGTACAATTAAGGTAGGATTGATCTTTATGAGTATGTATCCCGATAATTTCTCTCTCATGTGCTCTTATCTTTCTGGGGTCCTTGGATCTTGGACTAAGTCGAATTGATAAAGTGGACTTGCGCTGCCTTTTAATTAACTTGGACTTGCTTGATTTATTAGGTCTGACCCAATTAGATGTGGGCTCATCAATTATTATTATTATTATTATTTTTCTAATAAAAAAAAAAAAGCAATTGTCGCAATCTATACAGAAAGCACGCCCTTGTCCCTTCCTTTGTGTGTCATGCGGTGTTTTTAAATAATGAAAATTGTAGTGTTTTAAAATTCGGTTAATTTATATCATAGTCTAGAAGAATTGTATATACTCAAGTTTGTATTGTGTATAACTCGTGTATAGATGGATACGTCTTATGTTTTAACTGGATACATTCCAACCCATTCATTTGTTGGATCCATCTTTTTCATCGCTCGAATCTATTAAAATTAGACCTACATCAACTAATTTTGTATGAATTTCGTATTGAATTCTTGACGGGAAATGTATTGTCATCTCTTGTCGATGTTCTATTTAATTTTTCTCTAACTTCATGTGTGGTAAAAGCAATTCAATAATACTAATTGAATCTAATTTGCTAACATAATTAAACAAAACTATTAGATAGGATCAATGAGTCTTTAGTCTAAAGATATCATTTGTCTTATGAAGGTTTTGTTTTTTTGAAGTCAAAAGTTTAAGTCCCTCAGGTGATAAAATCATGGTTGATTGATAAAATAAACCTTAGTTGTTTGGACAAACCACATCCAACCAACCAAGTGTATGGTGTTAGTTCGAATCTCTACCGAAACGCAAGTTTTGATTTAACTGATATATGAATTGAAAGATCGATTCATACATCCTGAATTTGTCCTATATTTAATTTGGGCTCATGAGCATCAGTGATATAAGTACGTCTCTACTCGTCAGAGACAGGTTAGATATTTTTTTCGTTATCCGAAAAAAATCATTGAATTGGGTATGAGTTTAAACAAATACTCGAGTTCATTATCAATTCAATGATTATGAATAATTAAATTAAAAACATTAGGTCCAAATAACATTACCCAAAACAATTATATAATTTCAATGTATAATTTCATGGAGAACCCCGTCGGTTCCACTGTGAATTAATTGACTAGCTTTGGTGTGGGAGATACGGTCATGTGGCTTGCTCTTCAAAGGCATGAAGCAGGCTCATCTTGTATTGTTTGGATACATGCTCAATTCCAATTTGGTGGCTGCCAAAATGTGGGTTTTTTAGTGACCCTATTTCAAAGTGTATGACCACGTGCAATGCTTAATATTTGAATTTGAAATGCATGTTAAAATCGTGCGTGTCTAAGACAAAGTGCGTAATAATTAATAATATTAGAATCGTTGATTCTAGTAATATGAAAACCACGTAATTTGAACTTCTTTTATTCTCTCTCGTCCAATGGGGTGGTATATCAGGACGGTAACAAGTAAGGTGAAAGTCATCTTTATCACCTAGGTCGGGGCGGCTTCTCAATTAAAATATTGCCCCTAGTCTTAGTTCACTTTAGGCAGTGGGTGGAGTATTTTATGAGTTTGAGTTTTGGACCTTCGATGTATAATAAATACTACAAGAATTAGGGTATTTGGAGACAATTTTTTTGCGGTGGTTGTGTTCACTGTCACAAAAAATATGCTCTAGGGAAAAAAAAAAGTTTTTTATGGTGATAGTACTACTATAAAAAGTTTATTTGTTGTAGCAAATAGTGTTTGAGATAGGTTATTGTCGCCACAAAAACCCATCCGTAATGCTCCATGTTTTTTTTTTCTACAAAAACCTTTTTTATTTCTTCAAAACATGTTTTGTTTTCTTCAAAACAGAAAACCCCAATGTTTGAATATTAAATTGAAGAACAGTTGGTGTTAATTTGAAAATATTTAATCTTAAATTGTTGATCAAATACTAATTGGTGAGTTTGAAAGCTAATTTGATGAATATCTGTGATTAGGACAAGTATTGGAGTTTTAATTTTGGTTTTGCCACCAAGAAATTCTTCATCATAAAAAAACTGAAACGAGTAGGAGATTTTGACGCATTGAATCATATCTATGGAAACTTCTTCTGACTAGTGGCTTGGTGTGGTTCCATTCTTGTCTGTTTTCTATGTTCTCTCCTTTTTCGTTTCCTAGAACTCGGGAGTCCACAAAAATTTAAAAATTATTCTTTTAAAATATTGATCGAAACTCGTGAATAGTATCTTTGTCTATGGAAACTTCTCCTGACTAGTGGATTGGTGTGGTTTACTTCTTGTCTATTTATTTTCTATGTTCTCACCTTTTGGTTTCAAGATTCTAGAACTCGATAGCCAACAAATATTGCCTAATAAGAAAACCGCCAGCTCTTCTTGTCTTTTTGCTTTTAATTTTTTGTGTGGCTTTTTTGGGTACTTTTAATCAAGGATTAACACATTGTTTCGGTATATTATTTCAGTCACTTAGAAAAGAAAAATATTTCAATCTATTTCAAAAACAAAATGAAAAAAAAATATTTTAGAAAACATTGGTCAAAATATACCGAAAGGGCTCATAGACATCAATAGTCGAGTATTTACACAAATGGAGGATAAGGATTGGCCTAATGATCACCACAATTTGCAGTTAAACCGTTAGGTCACAACAACCAACGACTAAGAAATAGTGAACAAATTTATCTCATAAATGAACGATAAAAATTGACATAAAACCTATTTCATGATTATTCAACGACTATTGCATGGGAAAATTATATTTTCACTCTGTCAACTATAACGCGATCTCACTTTACCCCTCAATTGTTAACTTCCTCATGTTACCCTCTCAACTATTTGAATATGTTTTACATTGGATCAATACCAATCATCTGTCATATTTTGGATACAAAATGTCAAAATACATAGTATAATATAGACTTTCAATGTCTACAATTTGTGCAATGTAATGTAAGTTGATAGTTATATTTGACAGTACAAAGTTAAAAAAAGTAATAGTTGGGGGCAATGTGAAATCAATAATCTATTTTGAAGTGCTAAGAAACATAATAAAAAAAGAGGCCGTGTGAAAAATGACATAAGCCAGAGTTGGCTGTGGGTCTTAAGTGGCATACGGATCCAGTGGTGCTGACGGTGTTGTTGGTGAATGAGGTTACTGGGTGGCAAGTGAAACAAGGTGAGGATTGGATTGATGTGGAGCCTGTCCCTGGTGGGCTCATTGTCAACATTGGTGATATGCTTCAAGTAAGTCACTCAATCACATGAACGAAGTGGTTGTGCCTCAGAAGGTAGGACAACCATTATTAATCTGTGTACATGGAAAAAAAAAAACTACATAACATCTACAGTCAACAACAAAATTCGATACAACATTACTTCGGTACTGTAGTGCTCTCCTATTCTCATAATTACTCAACTCTCTTTTGCACATGATGTCCAATGACAAATACAAAAGTGTGGAGCATCGAGTGTTAGCCAACCCCCATCGTGAGCCACGTGTCTCAGTTCCAGTTTTCTTCACTTCAAGCAAGACAGAGGACTCGTATGAACCATTGCCAGAACTGGTGTCCTCGAAAAAGCCAGCTATTTATCAGAAATTCACAATCTTAGACTTCATGAGCAAATACTACTCAGAGGAGTTGCAGGGCAAGTCTGTGACGAATACCTACAAACTCTCGAACATATAAGTTCTAGTATTTGACATATAAGGAAGGAAATCATATATGATTTGCTTAAAATATTACAACAAAAGATTTCCTTAATATATATTTTATTGTAATGTTTAAAAGAAACAATAAATAAAACAATGGGAAAATGACACTTTTCCCTCATTAACTATGGACTCGATTGTACTTTGTCTCTTGAATTATTAAATTTTTTATATTGTCTCCTCAATTACTTAAATTATTTCACATTACCCCAAATAAGAACATTCACTATTTTTTTGGGAGAAAATTGCTAGCATGTTAGGGCAAAGTGAAAAAAAATCACACAATTTAGGTGACAAAATTAAATAATTTTTTGTCAAATTTGTATCGGATGTTAATAATTGGGGAGATGTAAGACTGATCACATAGTTGAAGCTGTAATGTGAAAAAATGATGGTTGAGGGGTATGTAAAGTTAAGTCATAGCTGAGGGGGTAAAAGTATAATTTATCCTACAGGAAAACAAAATGCTATGTAAAAAATAATGGGATTAAAAAATTCCGAAATACTACTTTTGGATACCGTTACTCCACTTTTCATCCAATAAAAATGCGCCACATGTAATTTTTTTGTTTTTGTTTTTGTTTTTGTTATTGTTATTTTTATTACTTTGTGATTTATTCAATAAATTGTTAAAGACCATCCAAATAAAAATTAATTATCCGGACAAATTTTTGGCACGGTACAACCATTGTTAACATTTCACATGATTGTCATCTTTTTATTTTTAATTGAACTTTTTATGACTTTTTTGGACTAGAAACCTTCATATGCATTGACTTGGAGAGTCAATAGTTCTAATCTTTTAAAGGGAACAAAGTGAAGAATTAAGTATTTCGAAGATATAAAACGCAATTCATGGAAACTCCAATAGCCGGCATGCTACCAAGAAAACAATGTTTCAAATTTTAGTGAAAGATAAAGATAGGGAGGCTCAATAAAATTTGGGGCTCTAAACAAAAAATTTTAATAGGGCCCTTACAAAATGACTGTTTAATTATTAAATCTTCTCATGAAGTTATCGTGGTTTTTTATCAACAAATTTATCAAGGATTTTTTCTAATATTTAATTAGTTCATCCATTTTTCTCTTTTTTTTTTTTTTTTTTATCGTTTCTCACATCCCGGTTCATCTTTACTAGTTAATAAATTCATGATTAATAATTCTTGTTAACAAAATAAATCTCAGCACAAAAAATGACTACTAAAATTCCAAAATCAATTATATTACAACGCTCCATAAAAATAGAACAGTAGCATGTGATGTGTTCATCTCTCAAATCAAATCAGACTGATAAAAACAAAAAAATAAAAATAAAAAATTTACTAATTGAGAAATTCAATGCTTGTACAAGTAAGAACTAAAAAAATTTGTGAAGTGAATTGTATGAGTTAATGGAGAGAAATGAGACATTTGTGCCGCTGTGTTCCTTTTTATACTTGGTGAACTTCAATATTGGGTGTAATTGCTTTTGTCAGACAGTGGAATGGTGGGATTGCGCAAGCATCCCCAACTGTCTCCACAGTGGAATGGTGGGATTGCGCAAGCATCCCCAACTGTCTCCCCCTTGACAATGAGACACTCGGATTCACAGTAGAGGCTGAGGAGATAACGGCTTTAGAGGTGCCTCATCATTGTACAACCCAGATTAGGTACAACTGTATTTGTCGTCGATCCTCTTCAAAAAAATCTAAACCTAACCCTTATCTGCCTACCCCTCAGAGGATATTGACTAAAATAACCTCAAATCATCTGGCCCTAAAATCATGCATAACAATATAAAATTTAAAACTGTTAATCAAATTGAGTTATTCGAACCTGATTTGAATTTAGTTCGTTCAGGTTCAGTTTATTTTTTAAACGAGTTAAAGCTTGAATAAATTTTTAGGTTCGCTTAAAAAATAAGCTCTACAAGTTCGACTCAAACTCGACTCATTTATGTGCAAATATCCGGGCTCAGCTCATACTCGACTTATTTTTGGCTTGTTCAGGCTTGCTCATTTTCTAAACGAGCCAATCTTGAATGAGTTAAAAACTTGTTTTTCAAATTCGACCTAAACTCAGTTCGGACTCGTTCGACTAACAGCCTAATTGAAGCCATAAATATGACCCAAAGACGTCCCTCTAAAAATACATACTAGCCCAACCCAATCCCAGCAATTAAGCCTAGACCCCAGAATGGCCCCACAACAAACAAATGGAGAGACTTTGTGACAGATGGATGAGACTTCATGAAAAACCTCACCCGTGGCCACTGAAATTGGTCGGCCTCTTCGACCTAGTCCCAACAAACTTGTAGAAACAAATGGTGTCTCGCTATGGATTTTGATTTGAGACAAGATTAATTACGTAATTTTATAGTCCATTGTATGTGTATGTTTTGGGAAAAGTGATTCATGATTTGTTAATGTATGTCATTTTTTTGTAACATATGGATGATGGATATTGTGTATTGTGGTTAGTTTGGTAGTTGGTACTTGTTGTTAGTTGTGTTGGTTGAAAATAGGATATATGTATTAGTTGTGTTCGTTGTTGGATACATTGGAGTCTTTGGTGAATGGTATAAGTTGTGTTTATGGGAAGTTGTGTTCTTATGTTGTTATTGTGGTATTATGGTTAGTTTGGTATTTCTTACTAGTTGTGTTGGCTGAAAATAGGGTAAATTTATTTGTTGTGTTGGGGGTTGGTTGAAAATAACGTAAATTTTTGAGTTCTATTGGTTGAAAACAGGGTTAATTTATTAGTTATTTTGGTTTTTGATTGGAAAATAGTGATAGGAATCATTGGTGTTTTTTATTGATTGAAAAAAGGTGCCAAATTTTCTTGGAAACTGTTGTTTAAAATCTATGAAGCACAGATACGGATACGAGATACGGGTATGATACGATACTTGATACGGTGATACAATAAAATCTAAAAAAGAAGGATACGAGTACGATCAAGATACGACTATAATAAAATATATTTAATATTTTTATTATTTTTAATCAGCATAATACTTATATATTTTGGTAGTTCTTTAACACAGTAAGAAAAATTTGTAATTCTTTTTAGTTTGAATAAAATATATATTGCATCACTATGGTATATTTACAAAGTGAAGTGATTAATTAAAGGAATCAACGCTAACATTACTTAGTCAGTTTATTTAGAAGTGAATTTTGCTAAAACTATAATGTAATAGATTCATTTTATGCTCTTTTAATATGTAATCGTAGATAATACTTAAAAGAATACTCCTGTGCCTTTGAAGTAGTATGAATTTTTGTAAATGTATTGTATGGTATGTGAATTCGAAATGAAATGTTAAAAATTCAACTCAAAAATTATATATATTATTTGAACACAAAAGTATCCGTAAAGTATGCTAATATTTAATTATTATCGGATACGTAAGAGGTGTATCCGATACGTATCTTTGAGTATCTAACGAGTATCGTATTCGATACGGATACGCCGACCCCAACAAAGTATCCGTGCTTCATAGTTTAAAATAGGTTATTTATAAAAAAAAAATTACTTTTTTGTGACGAAAATTGTTTAGTGGGAAAATGTTGAACATAAATTATATTTTACGACAATTTAAGTTTACGTCGCGAAAGATATTTATTTGCGACATTTTTTCTTGCATTGCGAATAGGGATGGGTAACTTTTTTTGTTAGTTTGACGCTTGAATTTTTTATCACGAATTTTAGTTAATTGCTACGTTTCAATTGCATTGCCAATATATTTATACTCTGATTAATCCAATCTTATTTGTGACAATTTATTTATGTCGCAAAAAATCAATTAAATTATTTAATATTATATTTTTTTTCCAGTGACATCAAAATATAATCTTAACGACATTTTTTTATTTATTTTGAGTGATGTTTATTTTATTTTACGTCACAGAAAGTATGTTTTCGTGACAAGCAGAAAAAATAATTTGCGACTTTTTTTTTTTTTTTTTGATTTTTTGCGATGAAAAAGCGTCACAAAAAATGAATTTTCTTGTAGTGGTCCCTGACCCGTGACATAGGAGAACCCACCACAATATCTATCAACCCTAACTTACTTCAAGAGTACCCTAACATAATCCACAACCACATTTCAAACAAGCTTTTACCCCAACCCAAGGGGTTTTGAAAAAAAATTTCCAAAAAAATGGTTGGTTTGAAAGTATTTTCCAAACTTATGTTTTTTTAAAAACGTCAGTTAGTCGGACATTTTTAGGCCAAAAGACGTTAGTTGGTCTGACATTTTTAGCCTAAAAACGTCAAACCAAATAACATTTTTGGCTTGAAGAGTGACCTTCTAGAACCCTTAAAAATATTAGTCTAATTGACGTTTTAATTAAAAACGTTAGTTGTACTGACGTTTTTAAGTTAAATCTGAGCATCATTTTTTTCCCTCCTCTTATTTCCTTTCTCTTATTTTTCCTTCTTCCCCCATCTGAGCCCTAACGTTTTCGGGCGAGAGAAATAGAAATCAGCCTCACCATCTACACCCCCCATAACAGACATTCAATCCACCTTAATCAACAGCCCAAATCAACAAAAGTTACTCCTTCATCAGCACCATCTGAAACCCTTAGCCAACTGCCACTATCGGTCACCCCCAATTCCAAGCACCACCACCACTGCAACACCACCTAGCACCACCCACCATCGAAGCCCCAAACCCCATCACCACCCAGCACCACCCACCATCTGAAAGGCCCAACCCTAGCACCACTATCACCACCACCAGTTTCAGCTGCAACCAATGTGTTGCATAAATCATCACCACCACCCCCACCCTCGAAAATCCCCAAAATCCCCTAATCTCCACAAACCCGCAACACCACCCACCACAGACACTCCACTGTTCCTCCATTAATAAGTTCAAAATTAATAGTTGAGAAATTAAATTAAAACAATTGATAATTCAGAGACCATTTTAAAATAAAAAACAAAGTTTAATGACTAATTCTAATATATTTTCTGAATTTAATAAATTGCAGTACTTATTAGATCTATAAAAAACCATAATAATTGTCAAACGTGGCCCTCTTTTCTCTTACGCATATGCTCACGATTGTGCAACTCAATTGTCAGCAACTGTCCAGTCTATACAGAAAGCGAGCCATTATCCCTTCCTTTGTGTCATGCTGTGTTTTTAAATAATGAAAATCGTAACGTTTAAAATTTTGGTTAGTTTATATCATACTCTAGAAGAATCGTAAATACTCAAGTTTGTATTGTGTATAAATCGTGTATAGTTGGACATGCCTTATGTTTTAACTAGATACATTCCAATCCATTCATTTGTTGGATCCATCTTTTTATCACACAAATCTATTAAGATTAGACCTACATTGACTAATTTTGTATCAATTTCGTCTTGATTTCCTTGCGGATGGTGTATTTTCATCCCTTGTCGACGTACTATTTAGTTTTTCTCTAACTTTATGTTTGGTAAAAGCAATTCAATAATACTAGTTGAATCTAATTTGTTGACATAATTCATCAACATCATTAGATAAAATCAACGAGTCTTTGGTCTAATGATACCCCTTCCCTTGTGAATGATTTGTCTTCTTGAAATTAAGAGTTGAAGTATCTTGGGCGATAAAATTATGGTTGATTGATAGAACAAACTTTAATTGTTTGGACAAACCTTATTTAAGTTTCTGTCACGGGTTTGAATCCCCAGTGAAATGCAGGTTCTGATTTAACTAGTATATGGATTGAGAGACCGATTCATACCCCTGAAATTTGTACTATATTCTATTCAAACTCACGAGCATGAGCGACATAAGTGCGCTTCTACTCGTTAGGGACAAACCAGATATTTTTTTCATTATCAAAAAAAAATCATTGAATTAATTATGAGTCCAAACAAATACTGCAGTCCATTATCAACTCAATGATTATAAATAATTAAATTAACAAATTAAATCTAAATAACATTGCTCAAAATAATTATATAATTTCAATGTATAATTTCATGGAGAACCCCGTCGGTTCCACTTTGAATTAATTGACTAGCTTTGGCGTGGGAGGTACCGTCATGTGGCCTGCTCTTCAAAGGCATGAAGCAAGCTCATCTTGAATGTGTCACCTTTTAGTGACCCAATTTCAAAGTGCATGACGAAGTGCAATACTTAATATTGGAATTTGAAATGCATTTTAAAATCGTACGTGCTTAACACAAAGTTCGTAATAGTGAATAATATTAGAGTCATTGATTCTAGTAATATGGAGACCACATAATTGGGACTTCTTTTATAGTGCATAACGAAGTGTAATGCGCAATATTTCAATTTGAAATGCGTTTTGAAGTCGTGGGTTTCAAGAACAAAGTGCTTGATGTTGAATAATATTAGAGTCGTTGATTCTAGTAATACAAAAACCGCGTAATTTGAACTTATTTTATTCTCTCTAGTCCAATGGGGGTGGTATATTGGGACGTTAACAAGTAAGGTGAAAGGCATCTTACATATGAGTAACCCAAACATGATATTTGATATGGTATATAAATAAGGGAAGATAGAGTGATTGACTGATTATTTTTCCCCATCAAAATTAGTTATTCAAATTCATCTCATATTCTGTCCAAACAAAAAAATCCTAAAAATAAAAGCCTACGAGAAGTGAAA